ACTTCGTCGACAGTCGATGTCTCAATTTCTTCCATCTCTTTCTTGAACACATTTAAAATCACTTCTTTCATCTCAACACTCAAATGTCTTTTTTTGGATCGTTTCCTGGCTGGACTCAGAGGATAGCTCACAGTGTCATCAGCAGTGTCTGTACTGGACAATTTTAAACAATATACTATAACGCACGCCACACAAACGACTGATTACAACCCTGTGCTGGTACCGAACTCGTACCAAGAAGGCGAATTCACCAATGAACGCTGCCCTTTCCATCTGACACTGGGCGATCACGTGAACATCACGCTTCGGTTTTGTTTTGTTTTACTCTATCTTGGATTTGGATAGACTTTAGATGTTAATTTTTTGGATGCAGGTTTTACCGCTGTTATTTTTACATGGGTAGAAACGTTTTATCGCTGTAAAACTCTTGTTTTGGTGGCCTAGCCTTCAATTTCTTCATCATTTTATCGGCTTGACGGAAAAAATCAGAGCAAAACTCTTCTAAGTTATAGTACTTACTTTCAACAGGATGAGTTTGGATCGGCATCCTGCTATAATGGTTGGAAACTGCAGCCAAATGTGGATTGTAGAATTGACTCGGTACTGTCTGAACATAACTCTGAGGTTGCGCAGGGAAGCCAGTGACGTACGGAGTCGTGTTCTGAGCAACATTGTAACTCTGTGGAATGTACATGTATGGATTCGTATGAAGGGTGAAAAGAGGGTTTTTCAAAGTTTAAAAATGAAAAAAATTAATGAATTTGTGGTTGTTTTGCAATCAAAATATTCAGTTATTCTCAATATCTAAATCAATATCAATATAAAATTTTAATTGTACTAAGAATTTTTCTTTCATTCTTAACCCTCTCAAAAATTAATAAGCACGCCCCCGATTTGCTGTCAACTGGGCTTACTTCTACTCTCAATCATTATTGATTTTAGTATAGTTACTTACCAAATGCTGTTGAGTGGGCTGTACTTTTGCGTCCGCATTCAGCGGTGTTGAGGCGTTATTCGGAGACGGCGTCGCAATGATACCCTTCAGACTGGGGCCCTGATCACCCCTTTGGGTAGACCTCTGTGACAGAACATATGGCCCGGGAGGTGTAAACACAGGATTTTCGGCAGATCCTGAAAAAGGAAAGTTTTGAAGTCAACGTGTAGTGGTGCTCCAACAGCGTCAGTAGAATAATCAGAATTACCTAAATCAAAAAAATGTCAGGAATAATATTGACAGTATTAACAATTTTAACAAGCATATCGAGAAATATACTTTGATTTTGTGTTTCAGCACCACTCCATTTCAAAGATGACGTCAATTGAGACTGAATGAAAAGTAACAACTGGAATAGGAATCATAATAGTAATAATAAACTTTTTTGTCAGAAGAGTCTTATTGAGAAAGCGTGTGTAAATAAGATAATAATGTATACGAGCATCATATTTATAAGTACATTATACAAACACATATACATTTGAAAATAAGCTAAAAACAGATGTTTACCACAATAGAGAAAATGTCCATGTGTGTAAAGTGTGGTAATAACGTAAAACATGAAAATGGTGTAAGTTTTTGGTGATGCTAAATGGAACTTAAATTTAGTTTGACAATAGCACAATTACAGAGGAAGTGTCAGTGGAAGTTATGATCATAAAATTCGTCCAAACGATAATAGTCTATCAGGAAGTAAAACTTTGATTGCTTTTCTGAATTCTGAGGGGCTTTCTATACATTTAACGTCGTTTCTCAGGTAGTTGAATAATTTTAGTCCATTTTAAATTACTGAGCTTTTAGTAAGTGTCAAAGTGGGTATAGGCAGTCTGAAATCGTCAGTCTGACGAGTGGAATAGTTAGAGGAGACCAAAGGAAATTCAACTCTATGTTTGTTTATCAAACAAGCTGTTTCTACTATGACAATGGCATAAACTCTCAAAATATTAATTGTAATGAATAAAGGCCAACAGGAGTCTTGTTTCATTTTGAAGAGATAACGTATAACCCTTTTTTTTTGAAGTACAAACACAGAATTCATATGGGTTCTAGAACATACTACTCAGAACGGTCTCAAGTGTGAGTCTACTAGTTAATAGTGAACAGATTTAGCTGCAGAAGATCGCAATTCTCTTGAAGTTATTTTTATTGCACAATCTTCAAATCTCAAGTCTTAGATAATGCCCAGGAATTTAGTACTTAATTTATTCTCGATAACACTTTCATTGATTATAATTGAAAAGTTTTCAATAGAACTTGAAAAGATATCAAATTAATTTTGTTGATATTTAAAGATAAAAAATTAGCATAGCATCAGTCCTTGATAATCCTGCTATCTAAAGATATAACCTTGTAACAAGGTTATATCTTTAGATAGCAGGTATATTGGGGTACCACAATATAGAAATAATGGGAATGGTCAATCCGGTATCGAAATCATAGTAAAAAATAGGCAGCTACAGTACACATGCAAGAGTAGAGAAGAAAAACAAATGACCAAGCAATGATTACCAAGACATTGAGTAGAATAATTATCACTATTCATGATAATAGTTGAAAATTTTCACAATATAGTCTTTATTGTGTGTTTGAAAGTGGTTGACAATGTTTCATGGTGAATTTAACTAGTTTGGATTCTAAACTGATCTGAAATATCTCAAAGAACCAATAAAATTGATATGAGTAGCTAAAATTATCAATTATATCAGGCAATGGAATGTGAAATCAAACTACAATAAAATAAAAATAAGCCGGTTTAGCGGAAGTTCACCATTTTCCCGCTTGATTACAGGTTTCCATATGTTGTTTATCTCTACACTACCTTGACTGAATGGGTCGTTGGACAGCTTCTTTCAACTCACTCTTGAGCCAGTGTTCCTCACTCTGTCATTATTAACCTTACACGTTTCACTACATAGTAGCATCCTCAGTTGAACTGGTACTCCTCACTACTTTTCAATGAAATTCAGACAAGTTATCGACCTTAATTGATGGACATTACTAATTAATGAATTGGTATCCAGGAGGTAAATAATATGTTTCATTATCATAAGACATAATCTTATAGACAAAGCTTGGGTAGTAAATACTTAAAAAAAATAAATACATACCAAATATAATTGATATAAAAATGATGCATGAGTACAGACTATGTTAAAATGAAGGATATAAAAGATATGTATATATAAAAGAGTAACAGTCAAGTTTATAAAAGAGTAGACACAAAAAGTAAAAACTTAGGAGCTTCTTAATAAGTGAAGATAAAAAATATGCTTAAGTCAGTTAAAAGCTATCGTTAAAATATTCATCCAAAGTATAATAGGGTTTATCAGATAGAAATTGTTTGACTAACTTCCTGCAAAATTTAATATAGTTATGCTTATTTATTAAACACTCATCCAGTATAAATAATGCAGTTACCGTTAGAATAATATGTTTTTTGAAGATGGTTCTACAGGAGTCTCTTGGTTTAAGGTTTCCTATGTACCGAATTGCCCTTTCCTGTAAAATTAGTAGACTTTTGAATAAAGTTGGACTGCATGGTCCCCAAAACGGTATTCCTTATCGTAAGTCAGAATCTATGAGTGCGTATGCCATCTTTGCAGTGCTGATATTTATTAGAGGTGAAAATTGCAACATATGTACTGCATTTGTTAAATAATTTGCTTCGTAAAGACTTTACATTTACTTTAATCAAAGTTTTTTTGTCTGGTTATACTGTTTTCTTCAAGAATTATACGAGCCTCATCTTTATTAAAGTTCAACTATAAATAATAGTTGTTTATAGCTAAGAAACATTATGTATAGCAATTTATCTAATACCAGGTCCTGAGGCATCATATTAACAATGGATCCAGGAGTCTACTCATGGGTTCCCGAACCCTTAAAATCAGGATCCTCATGAGTGTATGACCATTTAAATATATCAAAGTCGAATGAAAAAATAATTGTAGATCATTGATATTGTATTCAACTGATGTTTCCTGTTGCATTTGTTTAGAATGTGTTTTCTATGAATCCCATTTTTTAAACAATTTTTGTAGATATTTTCAAGGTTACCTTAATATTTATGAGAGACGTCCTCTTCAAAAGAAGTTTGATCACTTTTATGATAACAATGTGCCCACAAAAAAGTACACTTTCTTAGATTTATAAGAATTACCTCTATTCAAATGATGAGACTCTATTTCAGTTTGCCAGTTGGCATTCAAGTTTCGTCCTCCTTCGCATAATGTATTCTCCACTTCTGTGGCCAAATTCACCAATGCATTCAGTGTAACCTTGTCACTGGTTGGGTCTTCCTTATACAAACGTGCTTGTACAGGTCCTCTTCCATAGCCCGTAACAAATATATCTCTGATGAGTACCCTAACCTCTCCCCCAAAATTGCAGTCAGCCTCCAAACTTCGAAGTCGGGCGGACCAGGCTCTTGCATTTTCCTTATCGTTTCTTGAAGCTGTATAGAACCTTTGCCGTGCAGCAAAAATTGATCTAGAAGAAGCAAAATAATATTCCAGAATTTTAATCACATCATCATAGACAGTGTTAGACAATTTGTCGGGAAGCAGTAAACTCTCCAATAATTTGTAGGTTTCTTCCGACAATAATGTTATTAACAATGCTTTTTTCTTTATTTGATCATTGACATCAAAGTACAAAAAATAGTTTTCCAGCCGTTCTTTAAAAACACGAAAATCTGTCACTTTGTAATCAAAATATAATCCAATTGGCGGCAAGTTGTTAACTTCTGCCATAATGTTTAACATTCAACTTTCACTTATATTTCTCAACACCAACACTTTTTATATTCTCACATATAATAATGATAAAATAATCACCTTTATACGGGCGTATCCCACTTCAGAGATTGGTAAATCCCAGACTAATAGTTTGTTTTTGTTTTCGGTGTGAGTTCCGAACTATTCTGGAACAATTCTAAATTGACTCAGACCGCTCCTAGTAATCTTGAATTTTCTACTAGTTCTACCCAGAATCGAATTCAATGACAAATAAGAAATATAGAAATCACCTTTCTATTTTATGCTTCAACCATTGCAGTCATGACTGTAAATTACAGGTTATATCCATGATAATAATTGAACAATTTTCACAAACATTTTTATTTCTAGACGCGTTTCGCTAACACCTACCCAGGAAACGCGTCTGGAAATAAAAATGTTTGTGAAAATTATTCAATTATTATCATGGATTGTGTTATTAATTTTCATCAAGTAACGGGTCAGTCCTTTCATAATTACAGGATATAAGCAAAAGGAATAGAAGATGGTTTAAAGCGAAAATTTGTTATATTCACACATTATACAGATTTGCACCACTTCACACGTTAAATCCATTTCCAGTAACAATCTTTTAGACTCATTGGCTTTTATATGTTTCATATTCAGATAATTGCCTCCATATACGGTCTGATATCAACCACCTTGTTGCTTGATATTGATAAAAATATGCATCTGTTTAAAATCTGTTTTTCCGTTAATCAGCTGTCGCCCCCATACGAACGATATCTCTCAGAAGTTGGGAAACTTGGGCGAGCTAAGGACTAACGAGGTCTTACCTTTTAACGTGTGATTCATAACACGACCTAATAACCAAAAAGCAATGCAAGCGTGTTTTTTATGTTATGTTTCATGAATTTTAATTGATAAATTATGTAATTAATAAATTTTTTGGTAAAATTTTAGTGATATTCCATATACTTTTTGATTATGGTTGGCCTGAATGTTTTCATATTTGTTGGCACACTTTAACAGCAGATGTCTCTCACCACACTTGCACCATTTCTGTTCTAATCTGTTTATTGGTATCCTGATCACAAACCACTTACAAGTAGTTTGTGATTGTGATGTAAGATAATAACATTTAAATTCTTTGACATTCTTCATTGTTATGTCACTTGTTTCAGTGTTCCAAGGTATTCGGTCAGTACATCACTTTCAGTTGTAGAATTTATATTTTCAAATGTTTCTTAATACGTTTAATTATTTCATGTAATCTAATTGTTTTATCTTAAGGGCTTACTTTTCATTTCACTGACATGTATTATTTTTATAATTCCAGATTCTTTTTGACACAGTCAAACTCCTCAACAGTAATGGTGAATTATGCAGGCTCGAGTAGCAAGTAACAATTAGGAAGTGACAATTTTCGATTATAAGTTGAATCCCTCACTTACGTTTATGCGGAAAAATTAACAACTATTGAGTAACGAGTAGAAGCTGACCAACTATCAACTTTTTAATTGTACCAAATTTTCCTCTGGTGCGCAAATAATTGCTGATTGGCTCATATCAAAACATGAACTTTTTTTACAATCGCTAAAAAGGAAATCGATGCTGTGTTAAAAAATAAATAACAGATATACAAGTTTTTTAACCTATTCCTTGCTAATTGATAATTGAAACTTGTTATTTGCTAATCGAGGGTGCATAAATTCCCCTGTTGAATGTGATTACGGTTTACGGTTACTTGAGACAATGACGAACGTTTTTTTTATATCTAGATGTCGCCACTCCGTATTCCTCTCGATCAACTTTCAATGAACCTTTTTCCTAAAGTACGAAAAATCACTCACTAGCAGCGCTAGTAGTTCGGTAGGGACAAACACTGCCTAATCCTCATATAAACATATGGTACAATTAAAAGAGAATGTTTTTAACAGAAAAAGATGTTCCTGGAGCAAAACTAAAATTTGCAACTGTAAAGGATAACAATGTTGTAACATTAAAACGTTGGCTTGCATGTCGTAATTTGAAAGTAACTGGAAAGAAAGTGAATTAATAGACAGGTTAGTATACAGACTCTAGTAAAAGAGTAGCGGTAGATTCAAACCGTAATAAAAGAAATTTAAAATAATTATGAATTTCAGACTTATTTCCGAGTGAAATATGAATCAAATATAAATGGTAATGAAATGAATTTAATCGAATATAATTTAATAAACGATTGAGATTATATCTCATTCTAATCAATGGTAATTAACTATGAAAAATGTACTATTCATTTCATGTTTAGAGCATACATACGAATATTTATTTATTTTTTGTACTTTTAAATCCACTCTCCTCGAAGTGTGTATCCATTTCTTACATCTTACCTCATTATTATGAGCTTTTATAAATGGTATAAAAAACACGTTTCCTTCCTGATATCGATTTACTGACGTACAATTCGCAAAACATCAATTCTTTGTTGGCATTATACTAGCACAAAATAATTTTTTACATCAGATTTATATTTTTAAATGATAAATTAATACTACGTAAATAGCACTGTTTTACATGTAAATAGTTTGTTTGTCCCTACTACTAGTGCTGCCTTTCGTGACACGTTTGCTGTACTATTCTCAGTAAAAAAGGTCATTCAATTATCTTCTTCTTCTCTTTTTTTTAGGTTTCTGTTTTTCTTTGGCGCAGTAGGCCAGTAGCAATTCAAATATGTTATGGAAGTTACACTGTTACACTATCCGAACACATAAAAAAATATATTACTTTTATTATACTCCTCATCTGCTGAATTGTGGCCGAAACCATTTTTTCGATGACTTTTTTGAACAACTTTACAACTTGGATAAGGAAAAACAATATAGCACCCAGACTTACTGATTCTCATTCATTCCCAAATGACTTTCAAAAGATGAAGGTTAAATGAGCCAGTCAAGTTTTCAGTCATTTGGTATCTACATTTGGTATTTACAGCGATGAATACTCATGCCAGTTTCAATCAGATACCTTCAGCAGCAATAGGGACGGCTACTTACATAAAGTGTTTGATATTTTCAATTTAAATCGATTTGACGATGTCGAAGATTTCAATAAACCTTTTTTTCGGAACAACAAATTGATTGTCTGAAAGTAAAGGATTTGCAGGAAGAGATCAGGACAAAAAATCTGGTTGTTTGTATTCAGGGTTAAAGACCATGTTACAGAAAATATGATAGCGGAATATTTGAATGTAAAGACTAATAAAAAAAATCGTATTACTGTTACAGATATTGATACCCATAGAAAAATTAAAGACAACAGGTGTTTTAAAATCGGTATGGACTACAGTGTAAAAGAAATGACTTATACAAACACATTCTGGCCCAGAGGTGTTGCTGTGTATAGATACGATTTCAAAAAAGAAATGTACAACAATTTTTATTTCTAGACACATTTCGCTAACACCTACCCAGGAAACGCGTCTGGAAATAAAAATGTTTGTGAAAATTATTTAATTATTATCATGGATTGTGTTATTAATTTTCATCAAGTAACGGGTCAGTCCCTTCATAATTACAGGATATAAGCAAAAGGAATAGAAGATGGTTTAAAGCGAAAATTTGTTATATTCACACATTATACAGATTATATAAGTTACACTGAATACGAAGTCAATACGTTTTTCACAGTATTTATAATAATATTTAACATTTTTCTTGTGTTATTATTACATTTTAGCTCTGGCAGAATGTCTTTGAACATACCTCAATATTTATTGTACTGTATTGTGTTATAATACTGATCGATAGAGAATTTTGTACTCTATACATTGATGCTATTAATTTTTTCTTACAAATTTTAAATATCTTCCCTCTTCAGCTTATTACTATACGATGTCGTTAAGCGATTTTCAGACAATTTTTTTCTACGAGTTCAAATTGAACTAAAGCGATGCCGAAACAGCACGAAAAATGAACCAGGCACTTGGCAATTATAGTGTTAATGAACGCACTGTTCGACGTGTGTTTGCAAATTTCATTTCGCTCTCATGCGGTTTTTGATGTTTTAAAAAGCTCGTGGGTGCCTCACGGTTTGTACGATCGACAGTTGTCACGTTCCAAGATTTGTTCTTTTTTGCTTTTGCGCAACCAAAACGATTCTTTTTGTATCGGATCGTTATGTGTGATGAAAAGTGGATCCTTTACAACAGGAGACGTTCAGGACAGTGGTTGAACACCAACAAACAACCCAGACACTTCCCATAGGTGAAAACACATGGTCATGGTTACTGTAGGGTGGTCAGCGGCTACGGTGTGATTCACTATAACTTTCTGCAACTTCCTATTGTAAGGATATCGATGAAATGTACCGAAATGCAACAGCAGCAGCTAGCAGCCGACACTGGTCAGCAGTAGAGGTCCAATCCTGCTCCACAACAACGCCCGTCAGCACGTTTCACAAATCACCGTCCGACAATCAAACGAATTGAGCATCGAAGTTTTGCCTCACGCACTATACTCCTCAGACCTCTGGCCAAATGACTACCATCTTTCCAAGTGCTTCGATAACGTTCTCACTGGTAGAAACTTCGCCAATCAGGCCTTCGTCGACTTTATCGAAACCCGAACACCCAATTTTTATACTGATGGATTGAATCGAATTGTTACACTGGCAAGAGTGTACTGATTCAAATGGCGCTAATTTCGACTAAACTGAATAAGTGTTCAATGGAATTGTTATTTCGTATCAAACTTTCGTACCAAAAAGTATCCACTTTTTGTCAAGACAATTATTTTATTGACAATGTAAAATTTTCCTGAAAAGTATTCCTTTTAAACAACAACAATTCAATGGTAACAGGATCAAGAAAATAAATAAATGACTCAAAGAATCCAATAATCAACATTTCTGTCCTCGCTAGAAGAATTAACTCAGTCTTCTAGTTCCAATTTGAAGATCTTAGTTACTGGCCGTCGACATTCTGAATATGTTGTCTTGACGTCTACCACTCTAACTCATCCATCTGTACTTGGATGCACACCTATGACTTTTCCTAATTTCCATTTATAACGTAGAGCTTGATCGTCGACCACAACTACTATACCATAAATGAACAGTTTGAACTCGATGATCCGCATGAGGCTGCAAATTGCTTTAATGAATACTTTATAAATGCAGCCCAGGAACTGTTAACAAGACAGAAAAATATAGGTAAGGTAAGTGGATTTGAAAAGGCAATAGATTTTCACAGTTACACCTTTTTCTTGAACCCTATAACAGAATGTGAGCTGCTCTCAATAATAAATAATATGAAGAACAAGAAAAGCACGGGTATTGATGAAGTACCAATCCATATACTAAAAAATGTGCACAACAAATTGTAACAGTTTTTTTTAACCCATTTAATTAATAGTTCTTTTGAGGAGGGCGTTTTTCCAGAAGAACTCAAGGTAGCTCTATGAAACCATTCATAGTGGTTCTTGAAAATGGCTCCAAAGCAGGAGCCGGAACGATGAAAATTACGGACGCGGTTCAACCCGGACAACAGTATATCAAATTACTGACCGCGGAAATCTATTTTACTTTTTTTATACTCCTCATCTGCTGAAATGTAGCCGAAACAATTTTTTCGATGACTTTTTGAACAACTTTACAATTTGGATAAGGAAAAACAATATAGCATCCAGACTTAGTGATTCTCATTCATTCCCAACTGACTTTCAAAAGATGAAGGTTAAATTAGCCAGTCAAGTTTTCAGTCATTTGGTATCTACAGCGATGAATACTCATGCCAGTTTCAATCAGATACCATCAGCAGCAATAGGGACGGCTACATACATAAAGTGTTTGATATTTTCAATTTAAATCGATTTGACGGTGTCGAAGATTTCAATAAACCTTTTTTCGGAACAACAAATTGATTGTCTGAAAGTAAAGGATTTGCAGGAAGAGATCAGGACAAAAAAATCTGGTTGTTTGTATTCAGGGTTAAAGACCATGTTACAGAAAATATGATAGCGGAATATTTGAATGTAAAGACTAATAAAAAAAAATCGTGTTACTGTTACAGAGATTGATACCCATAGAAAAATTAAAGACAGCAGGTGCTTTAAAATCGGTATGGACTACAGTGTAAAAGAAATGGCTTATACAAACACATTCTGGCCCAGAGGTGTTGCTGTGTATAGATATGATTTCGAAAAAGAAATGTACAACAAAAAATTCAGAAATAACTATAATAATGCATCAAATTTTCAGATAACAAAAGATTTTAACGTGTAAATTATATAAATGTGTTTTATACATTGTAATTTTAGTTTATTTTATTTATATTCATTTTGGCTTGTGTAAAACTTTATGTTTAACAGCACCAATAAACTATTCTAAAGAAATGAAAATATTTTTCAGTAAATTAAGTGTAATATCAAAAAAAAGAAAAAAGAAAAAGCACGACTGGACAAATGAGATTCATTGAGGAGTGGCAGATAACAATTTCGGCATTTCTGCAACTTTGGAAAAACCTACATAGTGGAGGACACTCCTAAATATTGAGGAGAAATATAAATCAGGACTGTGTGGAAAATTATTTCGGTCAACTAAGAAATACTTGTGTGAATGCCAGAAACCCAACTCCTATTCAAATTAAAAATTACCACATTTACTCTCCAGTTTGCACAGGCAGAAGGAAGTAACTGTCAAGAAGATACAAGTGAGATTCTATCTAATATTACAGATGCTGACATAAACAGAATGAAGATTCTTGTGAAACTTCCAAAACTCCCTATAAACCTTTGAGAGTAGGGACAAATGATCATAGAACTCTAGCCACTCCCGAAAGCAATAGCTTGGGCTATTTTTGTGGATATTTTTTGAGGAAATGTACAAATTTTGCCACGGCGGCTAGTACCACACTAAATGAAACAAATGTATATAGTTATTTCAAGGTATACAGTAATATAGAAGCCAAACAGTTTGGAAGTTTAAATATGCCTCCAGATTCATTTTTACAAAGTATCATCCATCTAGAGACAGAATTTCTTAATCATTTCAACAATTTATGTGTCACTTTTGCATAGGCAACCAGCTCAAAGCAATGTTTTCAAAAATTAACATTTCTCACCCTTGTGATAACTTTCCTTTGGATTATTTATTTTCTCTTTTCACAAGGCTAAGAATTTATTATACTTTGAAAACAAATGTTGAAAAAAATCAAAAATTCATCATTCTGAAAAACCTTTAGAATAGATTAGCATAAGTTTTTGACCTAAACTGTATAATATTTACGAAATATACGTTTATTTCACCACCTTGTCTTATTTTTTATCAATTCCTAAACAGTTCACAATCATATGAGATATTTATTGTGAGCTCCTCGTGTCAATGTCTTGTCGACCCGATACATCAAAGACACCGACCCGAAGTGAATTTACTTGTGTTTACTTCTATACGGTGATAATACAAAAAAAAGCTTACTATAAACTGGAGAGATATTTTGAAGATAGTCCTCTATAAATTTACTATTTTCAATATATATGTGATAATTTTATAAAATGTTACGTACCATACGCAACCATTTGGTACTAAATCGGTTTTCTCCGTTTATTTGCAAATGACACTCAGAGTTTTTTTATGCCATTATTGTAAATATTCTAATGTGAATAAACTCATTATTATATTATTGAAATATATATTCTGAAAATCATACATGATTTTCAAAATATATCTAAAACGGAATTGTTTGACACCACACTGTATATAAAAATTGTTATGGTTCACATAGATCAATATGATTGTCTCTTGTAACGTATTTAGATCAATCAAAATGCCAGGTCGTAACATATTTAACAATAGGTAAAAACACCTTTCAACTTGTAGTCTTAGTTCATGAGCTATTAGAATTGTGAATTGTCCTTTTGGTTCTCTTCTTTTATCTATAATCTGTTAATATTATTGACATGTTCTACACCCGCTTGGGTATAATGTATTGAGCACTTGAACAAAGAAAGAATATCAAAGTGAAAAATCAACAATCAACTGGCTTATGGTGCAAGAAACTGTTCCTACAAAGTACCACTGTACCAAACCATTATCAAATTGTTTTGGATTTTATTTTTTTCCTCTGAAGAAAATATTCCATACTGAAGCCTTCATCAGTACAGAGTATCCAAGTGTAAAGATGGTCACGTTGGTACAGAATTCCTTGGGTTGTTTTCTGTAACGAAATACTGCCCATTTTTACACTTGGATACATGGCGCTGATGAAGGTTAATGAGCCATAATCAAACGGGTGCTTGTTTGCCTTTTGATTTTGAAAGAATTTAATTAATTTATATTGGGGGGTGTAAAACCAAAAACATTGCAATCAACATACTTTTTCAATATTTTTTTCATGAAATTAACCGAAATTAGACAAATATTTTGGGAGTTAACATTGTATAAAAACCGTTCAACTTATATTAGAAAATTTTGAAGGTTGTGCAATAGATGTTTTTCTCACTGGAACAGTTTCTGGAGTGGGAATTGCATCACCTGTAGCTACAAAAGGAATGGGTCCTGGCAATTGAATTCCAGGCTTACTGGGTCCATTTCCAAATTTCTGTTTGGCCATTTGGTAGTCGCCAGAATCAAAATATTTCTGACCTTTTGAGAGTCGTTTCTGCAAAAAGGCGGAATGCCCGCTTGCTATTCGACCAGGAATTCCTCCCGAAACTGAAGACACTGGATATTTTGCTTTTAGCTTGGCTTCTTCTTGTTTCTCTACCTCTCCAGGAGTTAATTCAGATTGGTTGGAATGATTATTTTCACCTTTATCTCTATTAATTTCCTCCATCTCAATTTTTTATGATTCTAAAAACAGAAATGTAACTAGTTGGACTAATTCAAAAAAAAAGCATACCTTCTGGTGAAAGAACTCTTAAGCCTTCAATCTTAAATGTGAAACAAAAATTGTGTATTCAAGATTCATAAAATTTCTTCTGATGAATAATTCATATTATTATTCATACAGAATTGAGTATACACTCGAAGTCGTTGTTAATTATCAAAGTCTATTATTTGGTATTAATTATGGATTAGTATAGCTCTAATACAATATTCTCAGGTAGAGCATAATGGCATACAGTATTTACCAGTTACCAGTACAGGTATTAGTAACGTTTTCTATTGCTTAAACCAGTACACTGTCAGTGTATTTCTGTCCTTTATAAATGTATTAAGAAATAGTAAATAGAGGTACACTGAAGTGCACTGGTTTTACAAACGAAAATCACCAGAAGTGCAGTGTTGCCAGACAACGACCAGTCACAGAAGAGTGAACAATCTGAAGTAACACTCAAGAGCGGCACTTTTGACCTGGAGAAGCCAATTTCACTGACCTTCACCATTTGGTGAGGACGAAAATGACTTCGATATCGAAGGGCCAGGTCGGATTCAGAGCACATTTGGGATCTTAGGGATGATAGAAAGTATTGAAACATCAATGTATGTAGTTGTGTGGAACGAACTGTAATAAAATTTTCAAAAGTTTAGTTCAATGTGGCGTCCGCAATTTGTTTCCACGCAGCTCATTTTTCATGTGTATGTAGGGTTCATAAATAAAAGGGGGTTACGAATTAGAGTCGTCTTCAAACAAAAGGTACATATATACGAATCCTGGTGCAAAAGGACGAGAAATAACATCAAATCAAGAAGTTGCGAGTTGACCATTTCTTTTGTAATTTATTGTTAATTCAGTTCATGCTGCATGATGATGTAGATGAAAATTCAGGCTGCATCCTTACTCTAACTCTTATGAATAAATGTGTGATCTTATTTTCAACACGCTTATATTAGCTTCACTTGTATATGTTTGTTAGTTAGTTTGTAATCGACTCCTTTGGACTTTTAACGGACAGATGCATTTTAACTTTGTACACTTATCAAAAATCGTTGCCAATACAATAATTTCATAAGTTTTCCTCATTATATCCTTATCATGATCGCCAGGATTAAATAATTTTCCCCCACACTCTCTGAGCTTGAAATAGCGAGCCAAACTAAGAAGTATGAAATAAATAGTAATTTAAAAAACTGAAAAAAACGCGCTTTAATAGCAACACAAACTAAAAAATGAAATATAGTTCGAAATTAATTTAAGCTGGTGTTCACATCGATAATAAAGCATGTGGTTTGAAGTAACTAATAACTTTCAATAAGTCTAGTATCAAAAACAATTGATTTTGTTGTGAAAAGCGTGCGGTTCAATCTGGCAAACAGCTCCTAGCCAAGTATTTATAACAATGGATATTAGCACCCCACGCTTTTTACAACAATTTGTTTTTTTGTAAATAGATTTATTTTGATTTCAGACTTATTAAAAATCCTTATTTACATCAAACCATAGGACTAATTATCGATGTTGAACACAATCTTAAATTAGTTTCGAATTATATTTTATTTTTTAGTTTGTGTTGCTATTGAAGCGTGTTTTTTTAGTTTTTTAAGCTTTTATTTATTCATCCATTGTACCTAGTTTTCCATAACCCATATTAGTGATTCATCATCTAGTTTTTTCCAAATTAGATTAAGATGGTAAAATAAAACATTTGGTTAGTATCATTAGAAAAGGGTAGAAGTACTTCCAGGGAAACGTACAAGCCGAAACATTATGTGGTGAGTTTAACACAAAACGATTAATTTTTCTAAGAAATAATCTGATTTTTAGTAGACCAAACACTGTAACATTTTCTATAAGAACAGTTAACAATGTGTTGACTATAGCACAGTCAAATTTTTATTGTGACTAGAATCTGTTTTACTGTTACTGTAATCTCGTTTTATGACATTGATATGTCATACCGTTATTCATTCTACATAAAATTTAATTGGTTCTTTAGCGTTACTTAATGTTTTCAACCAGTTTAAACTGATGTGGTTATCGAATGATGCTGATAAAATGTATTCTTTCATAACACTGTGGAATTTTTGCAGCTTTTTAAACATTGTCGATGTACAGAGATTCTTTTGAAGTGATTTTCTCATAAAAAACTTGTTACCTAAGGGTACAAATACTCAACTACAAGCATTAAAAAAACTTCTCACCCAAGCTTAGTAAAGATTTCGTTGAAGTATTCACGCTTGCACAATCGATAATTTTATTATAATAATAATTCGAGATATCGAATCGATTATCAAGATAATCCTAATTATTCTTCTTCTCTAAATATTTTGTATGTGACAAGGAAATTGTCTTCACAAACTATCTACGATTTGCCAAATACGTAAGTAGAATTAATTGGACATTATTTGTATCGCAGATTTTGAATATTCAGCTGTTCGAGATTTTTTTTACCAGAATCACAAAAATTTTACATAATTGTCATTTTCAAGTCAACCGCTAATATCAGGTGTTTTTGTTGGCACTAATCCTATTCCAGATTGGACTATTTCCGACAAAAGTTATTCTCTACTCGATGTTATTTAATCGAGCAGGACAGCGAATAACTTTTGGCGGGAATGACATAATCTGGAGTACAATAAATGTCAATAAAACACAGCTATTATCAAAACTAATTGAGAACGGTCGGAACTGATTTATCTGAAAAATTAATGAAATGAAATGCTATTTCAAAATTTGAACAGAACTCTATGAACAAAATTTACAATAAATTCGCAAACTCAAAATGAATTCTCATCGTATAAAAATGAAATGAGACATTTTTCTTAGTTAACAGTGAAAAATCACAGTTTAATCAAATGAGGTACATTCACATATTGAACAACTACTGTATTATCAATGTCAACTGAGTGATTCTACTGCACATTGCGAGTGATTTATAATTCGAATAATACTTCGATAATTCAGACAATTCGATTACTAATAATTCGATTATCAAGATAATTGGATTATGAAAAAAAAAACAATAAACTGTATTGATTAGTTTTGTTAAATAAGGATTTTCTCAAGTATCGGCCAGTTCTATTAAATAATTGGATTATGCCTATCACTACTGGAAATGCCGGTCACAGCGCGCGATCAGTTGCATTAGTTTGTGTATGTATGGTCATTATTTCTTAATTTTGAAGCAAAATGAACGATATAGATTCAAAATTAATCGGGTCATGGAATTTCCTTGCAGCTACAAACATTCTTCGTTCAAATTTTTTTACAATATATCGGGCGCACCCAGAAACGTCTTTTTTCTCCTAAGAGAATACCAAGAAATGATAAAATCCTCGTCTCCTGACGACTCCATTTTGACTTAATTATAGTCATATGTCGCATCGATTATACAACAATATGAAAATATCGATTTCATGCAACTAATTGCATGAGTAGGTCGTGTGAGTTGCGTTCCATCAGTATGTCAGCCGTCTTAATTCAACTATTTAAAAATAATCATTTTCACAGCCTCATGCCGAGGCTGTGATTTTGATCTGATTGGCAACACTGCATTGTTCTGTCTAGGGATATATTTTATGGAGGACTCTCCAAAAATATCTTCATGCGTCACCATTTTTGATCGAAATCTTAATCTTACATTTTTATGTGTTTCTTGTTTGTATATTCCTCTAATGTTACATGAATTATTTCACCCTTCAAGGTATTGATCTATTAATGGTGTTGGATCGGCCGAGGTTGTGAAGGAATTGTTTATTTTTGAAAAATGGGCAGGAAAAAGAAGAAGTTATCTAAACCATGGTGTTGGTATCCTTTTGTTGAAAAAATATGGAAATGAAATTGCATGTCTTCATATATTTTTCCTTAACATAATGTAGGTATTGTAACAGGGAATTCGAAGATGAGAAGATCTTAATTCAACATCAAAAGGCTAAACATTTCAAATGTCACATTTGTCATAAAAAATTGTACACAGGTCCTGGGTTGTCCATACATTGCATGCAAGTGCATAAGGAAACGATAGATAAGGTTCCTAACTCCTTGCCTAATCGGTCCAATGTTGACATTGAAATATATGGAATGGAGGGTAATGTTTATTTTGAATTTTTGAAAAATGATAGGCATAGGCCTATAATTGGTCTATAACCTGTGGATCTCTTCCTTCACATTCAGGTTTTTATGGTAGTTTTTGTTTGCATACTAGGAATACCTGCGGCTGATTTAAGAGAACATGAACGACAAAAACAAGGAAGTAGAAACGATTCTGGTTCTGAAGATGATGAGCCTGCGTTAAAACGGTCAAAACCTGAAGGACTACTGGGAAGTTCACCTGGACTTGTGCAAGGAATGCCTGGAATGATTACAGGAATGATGGGACCTCCTGGAATGCAAATGGGACCAATGATGTCTATGGGACCAGTAGGATCACATTTTTTGCATCACCCTGGGTGAGTTCAGTTTATAATTTTAAGATGATATGATGCTCAGGCTTGAGCTGAACTTACAGATTGGGGAACACAACGTAAGGCATATTTATGTGAATGGACTGACAGTTACTTGATGATAACTCCTAGTTCCTTCATTGAAGTGACACGTGTTAGTGGATTACCAGTCAGGGAGTATGAGGTGTAAAATTTTCTATTCACAATGTGAAAGCTGATAAAACTTTATTTGCTGATGTGTTCGTGTGTAAATTGTTCTCAATACACTAAGCTATTTAGATAATGTAACAGAGTAACATCTTTTAATGATGGTATTGATCTGAAAATTTCAAGATCATCTGCGAACATTAGAAAGTTCAAATTTTCAAAACATTCTATTATGTCATTTATGAAGATGTTGAACAATGAGACCCTTGAGGTACTCCCGTCATTATATGAATGATAGTTCACCTAGCATTTCCTACCCGAACTTGTTGAGATTGGTCACATAAGAAGCTTTCAAACTATGATAGTGACAGGTCTGTAAAATCAAATTTTTCCATCTTACTTAATAATATATTGTGATTCACATGATCGAATGCCTTGGAGAAATCTGTATAGACTGGCCCCCCTCTGTACTTTTCTTCAGAACCTCTAATATTTTGTTCGAACACCAAGAGGCTGGTAACAAGACTTTTTCATAAAAAAACTATGTTGATTATTTATGAAGTGTTCTAAATTTCAACTGATCAGTTATTAAGCTAGTTAGTAACCTACGGTGTTAGCCAAACGTGTCTAGAAATGAAAATGTTTGTGAAAATTGTGTAATTATTGTCATGGATAAGCATTATTTAACTATAAACATTTTTGTGAAAGGAGAGATGTTCATTACAAAGCAATTGAACTAGAGAGTATATTTTTTAGAAGATATTCATTTTTGGAAAAGGAAGGTTTTGGCTTTCTACTTCTCTATCTTTATACAAATAAGTGGGAATCTTCCAAGAAAGGAAGAAAACAATTAATTCCAAAATGAACTCTTTACAAAGATGCAATCATGCAAATAAGTAACTTTCAGACAAAAATTGTAAAAACAGCCCTCTCAAAACAACTACTTTTATGTCAACATTGAATTACACGAAAGAAAAAATACTTTTGAAACAATTACTTCCATATGAATATTGAATTATACAAAAAACACCTTTTCCTATCCAATTTGTATTTCAAACATTCCTCATGGAATTGAATCAGATATTATTCACAGGATTGCTACACAATATAGTACATGAAAGGTGACATTTTACTTATACACAGTCATGCTGGACACATGTCACACACAGTCACATGCTGGACATCCGATGTTTCGGAATAAGACACTTGCCTTATTGCATCAAATGACCTACACGTTTAGAAAGCCAAGAATCCATTTTGAAGATATTAACAAGGGACCACTGTTACCATAACTAGTATTTCAATTTTGGAAACTGTTTGATTCATAACAGTCTTCAAGCATTAATTTAACTCTCACTTATATATCTACCTGAAGCAACAATCCTAGTATGACAATATCAAAACAAATCTTACAAAAATTCAGTTATATATGAAAGTTGGAAAATATATAACCACCTACCGAAATATTTAAAAGTATTGAAAAATCTTAAGCACTTTAGAAATGCAGTCTTTATTTTCAGGATGCCAATGATGGCAGGTCATATGCAAGCAATGCTTCATGGACAAGGAGGTCCTCACAAACCACTTTTTCCCAGTGCCATTCCTAGTACATCCCCTGGGGGACGTGGTACCCCCGTAGTCGGTGCTGATTTCAAACCAATAACATCAGGTAACATGTAAAATTGATTTCGTGTTTTATTCTTCATAGATTTCCCAAAAAATGATTTACTTTCTCTTCTCATCAAACATCAACTTGAAAAATCATCCCTGAGTTCACAAATTCATTTATTGATTGGAGACTCGTTTTTACAAATGAACTAAAACTAAGAAATATCTGTATAAATGATACAAATTCATACTAGTGGTATTACTGTACGAGATTGGCTTGAAAAGTTTTCGAACTAAAAAAGAAACAAGACATGTTTTCAGTTTTTGTTTTCTACATTGTCTGTTTTTAATTCTACGCACTTCTCCCAGCCATGTTCCCATCTCTGTAACCCTGCAAAATAATTGTTCACGAAGGTGATTGTCTCTGCATTCGACAAAAATCTCTGTCCTCGAAGCGCAATTTTTAATATGTGACAAACACATTCTTTTGACATGTTCATAACCTCTGCTATCTCTCTCACGTCTCGAACGTTTATCGTCCCAAGCTGTTACTGCCACTTTTAAATTCAGCTGCCCAGAGTTCCCATACACAGAACCAACTCATCAGAACAAATTAAATTGTGGAATGTGAATAATATTACTCTGCAATATAATGACACTTATACATAATATGCTCTGTAGTTTAAGGTGGCTTAATGTCTCTCAACGACTGTACTATAAAACTATGATATTCATATTTAAAATAATAAATAAATTGCAACATACTTAGTAAACATTATAATCACAAATAGTGAAGTACATCATCATGATGTACTGTCTAGATTCAGGTACCTGAGAGATTTCCTCGATTTAAAAAATCTTAGAACGTTGTATCTCTCTTTGGTCCAGGCGCTTATTAGTTATGGTATTTTGGGATGGGGTGGAGTGGCTGAACACCACTTACATAATCTGAATGTAATTCAAAAATGGATTATTAAAATCATCTACCGAAAGAATATTGACTTCCCAACTGATTCCCTGTTTCAAGAGAGCCAATTTCTTGATGTAAGGCAGCTTTTTTGTCAAAATGTATTAAATGACATCCATAAGAAAAAAATACTAGTAAATACTCTAGATCATAATTATGAAACAAGAGGGAAATCAATATATACCTGCACAAGTGCAAAAACAATTGGTCAACGTTCATGTAAATACATCGTTCCAAGGTTATACAATCTACTACCAGCTAAAATAAAAAGCATAGACAAACTCAGAAAATATAAAGATGATGTCAAAGATTGGATTATGCAAAGTGGAAGAGACATTTTTAACAATCTTATAAATCTAAAATACTTTCCAAGGACAAATTCACGAAGCAGTATGAACTCGTTATTTTTCAAAGGTCTGGGCAGTTTCAATGAACTGCCAAATAATGTAAAAATTTCTCATACTTCGAAAAATGCTCATACGGACTCCCTTCTACAGACTAAATGAATTTTTAAACACAATATTTGTCTGTTCCTGATGTTATACATTGTCTATACACACATGAACATTACTGGAGTTTTTTTCCAACACCAAATCGTTATTTTTATCACCTCGATACGTGTTTCGATCACCAAGTGATCATCTTCCTCTTGAAGATGATCACTTGGTGATCAAAACACGTGTAAAGGTGTTAAAAACCTCAAGAGGAAGTTCAATCTTCCTCTTGAAGATGATCACTTGGTGATTGAAACACTTCATGCACCAGGCACTACCACTTTGCTTCTATATAATTTTGATATTCTTTTATATCTATTCTAGAAGGTACTTTTTTACTTATGTGACTAATCCTATGTCTGTACGTGACTTAATTGGATTAATAAATATTATTATTGTCATTACATTCATAAATACATCGAATATCACTTTAATTCTTTCACTTAACAATTAAGTAGTTGACTTAGCGTTTAACTTATTGGGAAAAAAACCTTTTTGGTTTTTGCTTCTCCATATTTATACTAAAAAATGTGGGAAACTTCCAGAAGAAGGAAGAAATCAATTAAGTTCAAGTTGAACTATTCACAAAGATGTGTAGATCATGCATAGAAAATACTTTCGGAAGTAAAAGCCCTACCAAAACAATTACTTTCACATAAACATTGAACATTAAAAAAAAACAACTTTCATATGAACATTAAAAAAAAATTCCTATTCAGTTTGTACTCTAAACATTCGATACACACTAAGAGCATCATGGAAGACGGTTTCTCTTAAATCTGTATCATGCAACTATTGCCTGTCATTTTCGCTATGGAATCTTGAATTGGGGTATGAGCTCTTCTGCTGAAAGAGTATTAATTTTACAAAAGCGTTGCTAATTTAGGATGACGACATTCATGCAGAAACTCATTCAAAGAGCTGGAAATACTCACAATTACTCGTCTGTATGTATATGAGATGTGTCTCTACGTTTATGGAGATAGAGAAAAATTTAGGGTAAACCAACAAGACCAACCAAACGCAACTGGAGCTAGAGGGTTGCTGTTTTATATCAAAAATTTTTTTTTTAGTCATACATAGACGTCTTATTTGTTACTGTATGTAAATGTTTATTGTAATGCTTTCATACTTTCCAACGAGTGAAATATTTTATATTGTTATTATTATTATGGAATTGAATCAGATATCATTCGTAAGAATGCTACACAATATAATACAGTGTGTAACAACGAAAACTTAACAGAGCCGTTTTTGAATTTAAAAAGTAAGATTTTTAAAAAAAGCTCGGACACGTCGATTTCTAATTAAAGGGGGACACCTTTCAGACTAATCAGATTTTTTGTAGTACGCCCCCCCTCGGAGGGGTGCGTCCGACGACCCTTATTTAGATAGGGAAAGTACGTCGGGTGGCACCTTGTTTTAAAGGTCTTTCGAATACCTTAACATCTCTGTTAAAAGAAAATGTTTGTAACGATTAGTTTTCGAGATAATTTGAAGTTGAATTGCCATGTTAATAATATATATTAGACGAACAACTCGGTAACTTGTATGCCTAAATAAAAAAAATTTCGAGCAGTTCTTCTTATCAGCTTTTTGTTAAATAAAATCCCTTTTTTAAAATCAATACCCACTCCTNAAATTGTACCTTAAAAACAATTTGATTTATTTTAAAAAGAGTTGAACTCAATAAAAATACCTTTAAATCTTCAAATTATCTCGAAAAATAATCGTTACAAAAATTTTCTTTCAACAGAGTTGTGAAAGACCTTTAAAACAAGGTGCCACTCGACCTACTTTCCCTATCTAAGTAAAGGTCGTCGGACGCACCCCTCCGAGGTGGTGCGTACTACAAAAAATCTGATTGGTCTGAAAGGTGTCCACCTTTAATTGGAAATCGACGTGTTCGAGCTTTTTTTTTAAATCTTACTTTTTATATTCAAAAACGGCTCTTTAAGTTTTCGTTGTTACACACTGTATATGAAAGAATTACGGTATAAAATTTCACTTACAGCGGTGGACTTCCAAGTTTTGGAATAAAACACACCTCATCAGCACTTTTCTGGATGATATTACCAGATGGAGTACTTAAAGTACGACAGTACGTAAAGATATTCATTTGCTTATTAGATTTAACCCCTCCAATGAAACGAATCTCCATTAGAAAAAAAAAAACTATAGCTGTTACTTTCTCTAATTTTTTAGATACAAATTACAATATCACAACAGCAAAGCCAACTATCGATTGTGTTCATTCTCATTGTAACAGTTACTTTGTTCAACAACGTCTGTCAGTGTCAATATCAAGAATGCCAAAAAATGAAATGTCAATTATTCATTGATTCTTCTATCAACGGAAGTCTTTGAAAGTGAAAAATAAGTCTTGTAGGTGTTTTTTTTATTCCTAACATACTTGTTTTTTTTAAGCTGCTACCATAAGTGCTCCTCCGACTAGTAATGCAGCAGGTAGTAGTAGTAATATCAACAGTGATGGCAACAAAGTAGGTACAATCAACACTTCCAGTGCCACCAGTAAAATCGTACACCCCTCGGAAGATATCTCCCTAGAAGAAATGAAAGCAAGAAATGTTAAATATTCTAGGAACATTCCTTCAAAATCAGATGATGGATCATCAAATTCAAGTACTGCTGCTTCAGAAGTAAGTAAAAATTAATTTTCAGGTAATTTGTTGTGTACTGTAAGAATTAAAAATTAAATAAACTCCAGGATAAAGTATACTGAACTTGAAAATCAAACAGTTTATATGACGTAAGTTCATCACTAAATGACCACTGAATACCTCAAGGGAGTATTCTAAACCATTTTTGTCATTCGGCAAGTCAGTTTTAGTTATTTCATTGGAAGTTGTAGTTTATATTAAGTTTTATCAGTTACAGTTATATCTACTGTTTTCGTTTTCAACAACGTAGGCCCGTGAAATCTTTCAATTTTGTATTTTTACCTATACTCAGTGTCACTATTTTCCAGGTATGAAGGCTGTGAATCTTTGAAATTTCTTCCTTCATACCCCCTAAATGATAAGGGTGCTTCACCCCAAACAAAATGTTTGGGATGGAGCACCCTTATCACTTAGGCCCGAGAAATCTTTCGATTTTTTATTTGTATCTATACCCAGTGTCACTATTTTCCAGGTATGAAGGCTGTGAATTTTTGAAATATCTTCCTTCATAACCCTATATGATAAGGGTGCTTCACCCCAAACATGTTTGGGGTGGCGTATCAGGATTATTTAGGCCCGAGAAATCTTTAGATTTTTTATTTGTACCTATACCCAGTGTCACTATTTTCCAGGTATGAAGGCTGTGAAATTTTGAAATTTCTTCCTTCATACCCCTAAATGATAAGGGTGCTTCACCCCAAACATATTTGGGGTGGCGTACCAGGGTGAAATACAGCATCTTCATACATTCAGTATTCGAGAAGTCCTTGGAAGTACGGCAAATAAAGCCTAGCATTTTTGTTGCTTTGTTTATAATATAATAATTATAATGTAGCAGAAAGTCAATTTTTCTGTCCATCACTACACCCAAATCGGTATTGTACATAATAATATGAAAAAGAAAATATAAGTTGAATTTGCTGACCATTTTTGACCAGTTTAGAAGTATTTTGATGATACTTTCGACTCGTGATACACTTACGAACTCATATCTATTCAATCAAACAATCAATCAAACATTTATTAAATCAGTTTTCCTTCACAATCACATTAGGCAAAAAAAAACATATCATCATAATAAAATACTCGCTTAGTATATTTGTATTGTTATGTTTGCTACTGTATTTATATTTTTTATTTCAAACTCATTTACCCTCCGCAATCTAAACTCTGTATTTTATATCTTCATTTTCATTTATATTGTTTGTTCAATTCATTTGCATGTTTTTGAAAGCTTTTCTCTAGGAAAATTGCTATTATTAGCAATAAATATAAGACATTGTCTACAAGTATATTTGATTGATTGATTGATTGATTGATGAGTACATCTTTCATATTTCGAATACCCTTTCTTAATTTTCATGGACATTTTTCAGTTGGCAATCGCAGTTTCTGCAGCTCAGCAAGCAGTAGCTCATCAACAAAAGCAGGTGGAGGCAATGAACCATCATGCTGCCATGATGCAGAGATTTCCAGTTAGAGTAACAGGCCCACCAATTGGAATGACAATGGGCGGACCTATAATGGCTCCAATGCGGCATCAGATGATACCGGGCCACCCCACACTCATCGGAGGACCTCTAATGAGGCCTCCTATGTCGATGCCTCCAGGTATGTGAAACACTTTTGAAATTCATATCAATATGTTATGAAGAAAGGTCAGTCTGCAGTCGAGCTGCAACTATAATTTGAGATAACTGCAAAGTAACGTGATACAAATATTGTTTCGATGCTAAAAGGTATGTATACTACAGGGTGTAACCAAAAAGTTGGTCATAAATTGAACAACATATTACAGAGTCAAAAATAACTCGTTGTGCAAATGTGCACATTTAAAAAAAAGTTACAGCACTTGGAAAGTACNTTTTATATAAACATTCAATTACACGAAATAAAAAATCTTTCGAAACAAATACTTTTATATGAACACTGAATTATACAAAAAACACTTTTCTCTACTCAGTTTGTATTCCAAACATTCGTTATGGAATTGAATCAGATATCATTCACAGGATTCCTACACAACATACTAAATGAAAGGTAAAAAATTATACTTACATGGAACACTGTCATCCTGACTGGTAGACATCGATGTTTTGCCGTAAGACACTTGGCTTAGGGCTTTTCAGTACCAATCTGAATAACATAAGAAAAAACACAATTCATTCATAAAATTACGACTTCATATCACGGAATGAGTTCAATCTACTCATGTCATCGATGACATCGTAATGACATTCATTCACTTGTTAGTATTCTGACAGCATTGGTTTTGGACACCGTTTTGGAGTTTTTTTTGCTGCCTAGCACTTTTTCAAAAGCCAGTTTTTATCGAGATGTGGAAAATATTCTGAGTAAGTTACAATAACTGAGTGTTCATGGTGTTTGCAGATAAACAAAATATGTTCAAATCGGGCTCCATTTTCTTGAATACACATTTGACACCGTTTTAAAAAGGAAAAACTCATTTATTGGAAGATCATAAGATTGTGACGAAATCGATTTGCATTTTCAATAATTTGATGCATCAGTTGTTCGCCGATTATTTCAACAGAATACACGTCCTGTTTCATAAAAGTCAATAAGGTTAAGATCTGGACTTCTGGCTAACGTTCAGGGTACAGACCGAAAAGATATTCCCTTCATCTTGTTTATACCAGATATTTTGCCTTATTCCTGAATTTACTTCTTTCTAGTATTCTGGTAAACATTTTTGTGAGAACTGTAAATCATTTGCACCATTTAAATTATTTGGAAGAAATAATGGTCCTTTTGTCTGCTCAAACATTGACTTCAATGTGTTATGGTGATGAATGATGAGGGTTTTCTTCAGCCCATATGTGTGCATCATGGTGATTCATAATGCTATTTCTATTAAAGGTAGCTTCATCGTTGAACAAAATATGATTAATGAAATTCATATTTCGATTGTTTTTCATCGAGAACCAGTCGCAAAATCCTATTATTTCAAGGTAATTTTCATCTAGTAATCCTTGAACGGTTGTTGAGTGATAGAGATGAAGCTGCTGTTCCTTCAATTTTCTACAAACCATCATGTGACTAACAATTGAGCAGCTATTACCCTTGTACTGCTTCCAGAGTTTTTTTTGACAAATTTTCAAATCACTTCTTGTATCCATTTTTGGACAACCATTATTACCAGCAACTGGCGGTCCCAAAGTACCCATCTCCCGTAAACGACGGGCAATGGAAAGAAATAATCGTCTGTTTGATGTATTCTGATTGGAATATTTTTTCGCATAACGCCCTGCAGCTGCTGCACTATTCACCAGTGATTACCAGAATTACAGATAATTATCTGAAACCTTGTTTTAGCCTGACCAAACTTACCCAGAATTAGATGCATATCTCTCATTTCTGCAAACGTATGAACCATTGTAACAAATAGATAGATAGATAGATAGACATATACTTTATTGTCCAAGAAAATACAATCTTATTTTCTTATTAGTCAATGGGCTATGCTTGAAGACTGGCAGTCAACAAATCTAAATCAGAACTTTAAACGTTCAGGCCAGTCTCTATATACCTACGCAGCAGGTTTATTAGACTGACGCCTATCAGAAGACAACTACTCCCCTGGCTGATACCACGAAGGGCGTTGGATTAGTTGGGGAGTAGTTGTTTTCTGATAGGCGTCAGTCCATTAAACCTACTGTGTAGGTATATAGAGACTGGCCTGAACGGTTAAAGTTCTGATTTAGATTTGTTGACTGCCAGTCTTCAAGCATAGCCCACTGACTAATGGGAACGTTTTTCTTCCTTATTCAGAGGAATCGGGCAAACTACGGATATGCAGTTGGTTAGTACCTCGTCCACTAGATGGAGTGACATTTTGTGATGTTCGCTCCAACTTCGGAAGAGAAATGAAATACTCTGAAAGAATTCCGATCTTCAATTTTGGAATATCATTGACTTTAGGTCGATGATGGTTACTATCTTGCACTGACAAGTGGCTAATGAGCCTGAAACCGGTCTGCAATTGTGCCCGTTCCACAATTGAGGGTCGACTCTTTCAGTTGTATTGCCAATTGCATATGCAGGAAATTTTCTGTGAAGATTCTGCACTGACGCCTGTCGGATATAATCCAACGCCCTTCGTGGTATTAGCCAGGGGAGTAGTTGTTTTCTGATAAGCGTTAGTCCATCAAACCTACTGTGTAGGTATATAGAGACTGGCCTGAACGGTTAAAGTTCTGCTTTAGATTTACAAAGCTTGTTAAAAAATCTGGTATATATAGCACTTCAAGAGCTTTGAAGAAACAATTCAAAAACACAATAGATAAAATATAACAATAGAAAATAAAATTTAACAGAACGTTGAATTTTTCTCAACACTCTTAAAATGCACAATAATCGAAAGCTTCAGTTGTCAGTATATAATGGTTGAATCAAGTAAACGAACTACAAGTGTTGAACAGCTAACTAATGAGTTTTTAAAGAATAATGAAAAACAGCCTGCATCTCGATAAAAACTGGTTTTTCGATAAAGTGCTACGAGGTATAAAAAATTCTAAAATGAAGTATTGAACCAATGGTGATACAATATTAATTTAATTTTGAAGCATAGAAAACTCTGGGTGGTTTTAGGGGTTCAATACTTATATAGGCTTATATACTTATATAGGCTGAACAGATTTTGTAGTTTTACATGAAAAAGATAATAAGAAAGCCATGGATCCATTTTCATCACAAAATATTGAACCGTTTTTAAAATATTGGAAAAAATTGATTTTCATTTTGTGCTTTCCGAAGGCCGTATCTTTTTTGTGTGCACATTTGCATTGAGGTAAGTTATATCCAATCGAGTTGTTATTGGCTCCAGAATATGTGGCACAATTTATGACCTACCTTTTTATTACACCCTGTATATCAAGCTTATTTACATTATAATTGACCCTAAGTGGAACAACTTTTGGAGATATCTCTGAATACAAGAGAATCGTTGATGAAAATGATTATTCTTAGATGAAATCAACATTAAAAATGACATTTGGATGTCCTTATTATTAAGACCATTTCCTACATTCCTACATATAAGAGACCATTGGTCCGAGTATCTCATTTGCACGGAATCGGTAAGATTTGTTCTTTTCCACAATAAGAAGGTGGGATCTTGAGATTTGCGAGCAGAAATAAGTATATCAAGAGTATCAATAGAGTCACTATTTTTCTGGTTTGAAGGCCGTCGATTTTTGGAATTTCTTCCTGACGTTTCGCTGGTGCGAGTGGCTAGATTCTTCAGAGGTTTATACAGTGCATTTCTTTAATGTCCCTCCTTTTTTATTTTTTGAACAAGTCAACTCAAAAACATGGAATTTGGGATAATGAAATTATAACATGAATACTTTATTTTGAAGTGAAATTAACAGATGAAACTTTCAACATGGCGATTGGGCGCCATCTGGAAAAAAAAATAAATGAGGGGTCTTATGAAGCATCTTTTTGAAGCTCCTGACAAATGAATATTACTGGAGTTTTTCCCCAACACCAAATCGTTATTTTCAACACCTCGACATGGAAGATTAAAACTGTTTTAATCTTCCTCTTTGAAGATGATCACTTGGTGATCGAAACACGTGTCGAGGTGTTAAAAATAACGATTTGGTGTTGGGAAAAAACTCCAGTAATATTCATTACTACACCAAAGGTTCCAAACAGTGCATCATAAGCTCCTGACAAATGCTTCACAACCCTAGAATATGAAGTCAATATCTTTAACTACTACAAAATGGCAGAACTTTTAATAATTGCCTGAATACATTTACATTTAAGTACATAATATGAGATAATAAGCTTGAGGTCAGTTAAGAAGATGCTCGAAATGGTTGCCTTGAACTTCTTGACATATGACGAGCCTATCCGTAATTTCACGCCGAACATTTTCGAACACAGTAACGTCAACATCTCTACAAATATTTATTATTCTCTGCTGTATTTCCATTATCGAAGCAGGTTTAGTTTCGTAGACTTTTTGCTTCGAAAAGCCCCATAAGAAAAAGTCCAAAGGTGTCAAATCTGGCGAGCAGGCTGGCCGTTCTGTAGGGCCTCGACGGCCAATCCAACGACTGGGAAAAGTAGTATTCAAATAGTTTCTTACTTATCTGGAGTAATGTGGTGGTGCTCCATCTTGTTGGAATACGACATCCATATCGAATTCATTAGGATTCGCTTCGACGATTTCAGTGATGAGAGGGTCAACAGTAGTTTCCAGCGTATTCAAATACAGTTCCCCTGTTAAATTTTGATCAATAAATAGAGGTCTTACAAAATGGTTTCCCAATATTCCTGCCCAAACGTTATTTTTATCTGGATATTGGATATGTGTTTTCCTGAAAACATGAGGGTTGGTGTCGCTCCAATAACGGCAATTTTGTCTGTGAACATTGCCGTTTAAAAAAAAACAAATATTGTGGAGATAGGTAGGATGCCTTGAAATGGTTTCCATGATGATTTCGCAGGATTCTGTTCTTCGATTAGGGTCGAGGGACGAGAATTGACCATTTTAGAGATTGTTGACGTGGTACCTTTCTACTAGTAAAACCTAAAACTAAATGAGAATATTCTAGCTGAACAATGATGTTTGTGTCGTAGTGACATTTTTTGACGTTTTTATAAACAAAAAATAACTTAACAATCCTTATCGGGTTGTTGGAATTGCCGTATGGCAGATAAAAAGGAATATCTCTAGAAATATTGATATTAATGTGTTTGTTTTCAGGAAATTATTAAATTTTCCGCTATTTTGTAGTAGGTGAAGATATTGACTTCGTATTCTAGGGTTGTGAAGGGCCCCTTTCCATTTAATTCAAGGTGGCGCCCAGTCGCCATCTTGAAAGTTTAACATGTTGATTTCATTATCCCAAATTTCAACTTTTTGAGTTGACCCGTTCACGAAATAAAAGGGGGGGGAGGACACTTAAGAAATGCACTGTACATTTTGATGACTGGTTATTACGACTGCGTAAAGTGTATTTATGTTTGGTGTACTAATACCTGTACCTTCCAAAAATCGACGGCCTTCATTCTATTGTATATTAATGAATCTTTCAGCATCATTGTTGTGGGCAGGGAAATCTGATCCAAGTAAGCTTCGAGTGTTTTATAGTTATTGATTAGCTTGAGTTACATGACCAGAATAGTATTGATTATCAACATTTAACTTTAAAGCTGAACTTTTACTTGATGATTTTTTATATAATTCAGTATCATCAACAAACTAATGAGATTTTTCGGATAGGATACTTCAAAATGTTTTTTTTTTGTTTATTTGTTATCGGTTTTCCAATCTAGAGAAAAAGACAGTGAATATTTGATCAACACGAACAATTATCATGAATATAAATTATCTTATTCATATCAGCTGCTCAAACTGAAGGGCCTCGTGTTCAATATTAAAAAAAAGTGGGAATCTTCCAAATATTTCTATGGCTGGGATTAAATCAAATAAGCGATTGAATGTCTTTACGTACTGTCATCGATGACATGAGTAGATTTAACTCANATCCCTTTAAAAATTAAAACCCAACATTTGAAACATCAATTTGAATACTTTTCGAAGTGAATTTGAAAAACTCATGAATTAAACTCAACTTTATTTTGTTCAAACTTGCATTTGCTGTAATTCCCCAAATTGAGGAACATTCCTCATTCTAGAGCAGTTACTGTCCCACCAGTAATGTAGAAAGTAATTTAGTATGTTATTTTAAATTAATTTGGATCAATTTGAGATAAGAAAGTTATGGATAAATCCTCAAGATTTGAGTAGCAAATACTCTACAATTACAGCAGTTATTTCTGTTTATGAAAAATACGTCTTCTGTATGGGTTGAAAACCCAATTGGATATTTCCATGAATTTGTATCGAGCTTTGGATTGTGTTCAGCACAAAATCTTGCTGGACAAATTGTATAAATTTCGTGTAAGAGGCGAAATTCCTTATTGGTTTAGGTCATGAATGAAAAGACTAATTGTGGAAATACATTTCTTTCATTTCCCATAATGAATAACATTGTAGTACCCCAGGGTTACATTTCGGGGCCGATATTATTCGTCTTATATGTAAATGAGTGTCCCTATCTGATGCATTTGCTACTTTGTAAAGAACTTTACTTTTGATAGAGCCAAATACTGAAATTCTGTAAACAAAAATTAAGATCACAATAAGCAGTTTGGTTTTCTTCACGTGTTCATGTTTGAAAAACTCATTTTTGGATGTATTACTAGAATTTTTTTCTGTACAGTCTTGACGTGACGTGTTTGAAAATGTGGACATTTTCAACAGTTGGTGTATTTTTCTTTTGAATAAAGCTCATGATACCCATATATTACAACTGCAATACTAGGTAGAAAGATCAATATTATGTTCCTTCCAGACGTTTAGAGATCATTCAATAGAACTGGCTGATACTTGATGAAAACTCAATCAAAACTAACTAATATAGTCTATTGTATGATTTTCACTATAACGTGTTTTACAAAAACCGCGACACGTGTTTCGTTATACAATAGCTTTCTCAAATGCAAAAGAAATGTTTCAAACTAACGTAACTATAGATTCCTTTCGAATCGAAATTTTCTGATAGAAGTTTGAAATTGTTCATCACTTCTTTATTTTATATAAGAATATTGTGAAGCATTCTTTCAAGTGTTATCTATCTATGTAAACATGTACGTAAATTGTATTACACGTATGTATTTTTTGAATTATATGTATATATTTTATCTTGATCTTTCGTACTTATGTTGAATGTCTTTTTACTTGCCCTATAGATGTATTGCTCAACTGTATGAATAAATAATTGAAATGAGTTGAAGTTAATCTTATCATGTAATTTTGATTTGGTCTAGAATCTCAACAAAGTGCCTCAATGTCTTCTTAAGTGAGGTTTGATTACTGAAAGTGAAATGTCAAGTTGAACGTCTTACACTTTTTTATCATCAAGATATTTGATATTACCGTGCCGCGTGCCGTTGCACAGCCGTGGTTGATTCAAATTACGAAGTGATAAAATATTCACTTGTAAATTATACCGTGGCATGTCTGGCAAATCCAATGAGTTCAAAAACTCTTTTTGATAATACACAGCTACGGTAACATCGCAAACTGTATCTACGCTCGATGAATAAACAATAATAGTTGCCGAAAACTGTGTAGGGAATGAGAGAAGGCTTATTGTGTGAGAGAGACAGCTGTTTACTCCGTGCTGTTTACTGGATGAGAAACACCGGTTGACGCCTGGCGGGAATAACTGATATATGATCACGGTTAAAAATGATTAAATTACTAAAATGTCTATATCAAAAAATAAGGGTTGGTGATAGAAGGGTAATAATTGAGGGTAATATGTATTTTTTAATGCCACATAAAAATTAAATAAACAAATGTTTTGATTAAAAAATTTTTTAAAAAGTTTGGGGTGGAACACCCTCATCACTTAGGGATATAAAAAATAGTATTTTATCGCTATTTAGGTGTGCGTATTGGTATGAATGAGTGTGTAATTTTATCTTGAAAGGATCCAACTGAAGTAAGTTAATATAAAGATGTCTATACTTGTTTTAATAGTCCAGTCATCTTAGTGAGTTCACCTAGGAATTTGAGAAACCCAACTATTAACTTGTATGAACTTGTATTTTGACATCATGAAAGTTTTCACAAAGCCTACATATGGTAGAGTACATGCGACTATTAAAATCTAGGGTCAAATGATTCCTGATGAACTATAAAATGAAATCCCACTGAAATCCCTGATGTTTTATGTTTTAATTTAGTTACAACGCTCGAATGTTTGTCACGCACGACACAAACAAATGCACAATCACTATTCGCAGTACAACTAGAATCCTCCGACCATATCACTTCAATTACTCGACTCAACAGACTCACGTCGCGCCGAAGCACCCCTTTTATATCAAGGTTCTAGTCTAGACTCGAAGCGCGTGGAAGATTCTCTTGTTCTCAACAAAAATAATGGGGTATTTCCACTTGTTGCTAAGAGATGGCGTTACTATGATTGAGTTGTTTACCAGAACTAAGTAGGAACACTCTCCCGCTTGTCTGGGCACGCGCTGCCCTTGAAATTAATTACAAATGTGCGCATTTTAAAACTTCCGGAGATGAATTGTGTAAAGTCTAAAAGTTCTAAAAACATGATTCTTCTTTCTGTGACACATTGCCATCGCGGGCCGTATAAAGTTTAATAATTATATACACAAACGATTTTAATAATAGTCGCGTACATTCTACCATATGTAGGTTTTGAGACAACTTTTAGGATGTCAAAATACAGGTTTATACGAATTTATAGCTGGGTATCTGAAATTCCGAGATGCTGACCTAATTTTGACTAAGATGACTGGACTATTGAATTATACACTATTTTTTTGCATGCAAATATAGATCACTCGCTTCTTCCTACTGGTTATCTTCTTGAACTTTAGAAAGAGTTCAACTGTACGATTGATCTGTTGTATACTCATCATAATTGAAATTTTTCCCCTGAATGATGTGATGTCTGTTCTTCATTATTTTGATCAGAACTGGCCGATACTTGATGAAAATACATATTAAAACTAATTAATACAGTTTATTGTATGATTTTAATACAGTTTATTTCATGATGTATACTGAAAATCATACAAAAAAGTGTATTAATTAGTCTTCATTATTATTATTCAACAGTATGCCATTAGCGATTGTAAATCTTTATTTATTTATGTTAACTTGAATGTTAACTCTTTGTAATAAGTTATGTTATAGTTAGTTTTTGAATTATTGTTTTTTCTATCCCTGCATTGTATGTTTCTTGGGAAAATACATTGTTACTGACACCAAATGACACAATGTTGTAAAAATGTGTGATGAAGAGGACCTTGTAAAATGAGTTCTGAGTAATTACGAGGAAAGGAATTCAATACTATATAGATTGTTCTGTTAGGAATCACATGTTAAAAGGTAAGACCTCGTTAGTCTTTAGCTCGCACAAGTTTCGACTTTTGAGAGTTGTCGTTCGTAGGGGACGACCGCTTGTTAACGGAAAAGCAGATTTTTAAATAGTTTTTTTTGGTATGATCGTTTTCCTTGCCTTTTGAATATGATGGAAGTATATTTTTGGAGGACATTTCTCACACAGTTTCCTGGTGATTATTTTAACCTGTATTTTGTATTGTATGCACTTCAATCTCTCATCTGCTAACACCTAACACACAAGTAAAAGTACTAAATGACATTTCATAGTATTTTTGAAAGTTTACTATTTTTTTTTGTTGTTAGGTATGATCGGAATGCCACCAAGTATGATGTATAGTGCTCCTATGTTTCCAGCAGGACCAGTTATCATGCAGCATCGTTTTAGATGATCTCCAATTTACTTTTTGTATCATCCACAGGTCTAAGAATGATTTCACTTTTTAAAACTGAGTAAAACACATTTTATCCGATTTTTCCCAGGAAGGGTGTAGACTAAAGAGTAGCTTTTATCAAGTCAAATAAAATTTATCCGTGTTATCAATCAATATGTTCACTGATTCATTAATAATTGTATTTAATTTTTTTTAACAGGTTTCAAAAAGTACTAATTGTATTACCTGATGAAATGGTATGTAAATTTTTTTCATTTTAAAGTAATCATTGACGTGTACCTTCTGAATGAAGACAAGGTTTGTTTCATTATTATTCTAGCACGAAAAATGTTGGTTTCCATGCCACTATTTGCAGGGAAGTTATGATCTTCTGGGATAAAAAAATGTTGAGAGAGAATTCATAAATCTTCTGTCGTGTGAACCTGCAATTTTGAGGCAGGAAAATTTGAAAAATCAAATTTATTTCAAACGGTTCATTCGTGATACGCCTTGTGAAAAAATCGAAATGAGAAATTTAATTTTGAACTGCATTTTAAATGTGTGAGAGAGAAGTATAAGTCATTTGTTCAACAAAAGATTAGTGCCATTATAAATCGTTTCAGAACTAGATATGATAATTGCTTGGATGTAAATATTGTTTCTTTTTATTTTCCTGTATTTTTGAACATTGCATTTGCATACAATTAACTTTCCTATTTAATGAAAGGTAGAACTAAAAACTCTGACGTAGAATAAATCCAAAACAAGAACTGCTCCCAAACATTAGTACTCCAACACTCTTCTCGACGTGAGTTTTACCAACCAATTTGGCGGTATCAGGAGATGAAGTAGGCTTAATCCTAACTCTGGCCTCTAAACCAGACTTTTAGAGACACGTCAATGATTTCAGGGAGGGAAATTTCCTCGTAAAAGTTCCTTATTAATAGAGTGAGTCGTATAAATGAATTGCTCAGAGAGATTTCATAAATGTAAATGAATCACTTCGTTAAAAAATTGCGGAAACTTTCATTAGGAAATTTTTTTCCGTTCTCGACCCGAAATCATTGATGTGAATCTATGTATATGTGAAAATGAAAGTGTACCCTGTGAGATATAAATGAAGGCCAGGTTCAGAGGTTTTTCCAATTTCTTGGGAGCTTTTCTTTCTTTTCAGTCTCCGGAAAAAGCTGCAGCGTCAAAGGCTTATTGCGTTTGAGTCTAGAATTAGTCTACTTCATCTCTCTTGAAGACGCTGAGTTGGTTGATAAAACGGGCGTTGAGAAGAGTTTGGCAGTTCTTCTATTTGGGAGTAGTTCTTGTTTTGGATTTTTCTCCATGTTTGATATTTTATGATAACCTTTTTTTGTTTTCAATTTTATTTTGCACTTTTGAGACTGGGGCTGTTTTTGCGTGCAATTCATACATCTACTGTAATTATAAGATTAAACTTTTTCATTTTTCTCATATTTTTTATGAATCTTGACATTTGTTTATGCCCAGTACTGCAATCATTGTCCGTGTTGCTTTTTTTGTGTCACTTCATTTGATATGAAGGTAAGGTCATCGTTTTCCATATTATTGTATATTTTCTCCTCTAGAATAACAATTTAAATCGTTAGAAGTCGTGGATTGATTTTGTGTAATCACCAAAATGCATTGGGAAAACGAAAAGGTAGGTCAATAAATTTTCCAAGTAGAGCTTTATTTGGTCTGCCCAATGAGACAATTAAAAAGGTACAGTGATTATTTGTAATAAGCTGAAGGGAATGGGTTATACATTTCATCTATCCACCTGAATAGAATATATATTTATGCAATATGGAAAGTTTCTGGAACATAAAAGATCTTAAATAAACGTGAACTTTGAAATAACCAAGATTTTTTTCTCAATGTCAGCAGTTCAGTTGAAGTGTTTTCAATCAAAAGCTTGCATTGCTGAGGAACACTATTTTGACGAATGAAACATACTAAGTTTCACGATATACCAATATTACTGCCTTAACACTCTTCTAAGAAATATTCTTACTCATGCTCGAGATCTGGGCATATAATTTCCAACTAAAGTTTCAAGTTTTCACGGCTGGAAGTAAAATGGGAACCGGTTATCCGGGTTGGGTAGCAATGGCCCAAAGGCTCCTAAAATTTCGCCCATAATTACGATAGCATCTTCAGCATTGGTTGTATTGCAACCTCTTAGTTGGCAAACTTGATGAAAATCCATAACATATTCAAAAAACACTTTATTGTGAGCTTTTTTCTAAACAGTTTAACAAAAACACAACACGTGTTTCGCTAAATAATAGCTTCTTCAGGTGTGTTAGTTCTATAGAAAAATTATACTATATTTGGAAAAAACATCATGTTTAGTACGTAATATTTTCCAGCACAATTTTTCATTGGTAACTTTCCATAATGTGTACATTATATAAGCCCACTAAATGTTGAACTTTGTATTTGCTTAAAAAAAAAAAAAATTGTATGGGAAATTTCAAAAATGACAAGTGCAAAGTTGTTTGCTTTGAATGATGGGATAATGACAGCTAAGAAAAGTATGTTTTATCATCTACTGTCAGAGTTTTGCATTCAGTGGACTTGTTATTCTTCTATTGCTTCAATAACTGCAAAAATTTGAACAAGGTCAAAAGAAATTTCGTGAAACGAGAACCGTGAACAAATTCTGTGAAATTATATTGCAGTTATTTTGTGCATAATATGCTAACTTATGATTATATAGAGACTCGTAGGGAGACAGGTGATTAACAGTCACAGCTTTGAAGCTGTTGGATTGATGAACCCCCTGTATAATTTTATGTTGCAAGATATTCTCATTTCTTTACGATATATTTTGAGGACTTCTTTATATGAAATTGTGTCTAGTGAATATCTTAGTCTTATTGAAATGTTATAGAAACAGTGCCCAATAATTGATCTTGTAATATAAAATTAATACAGGTGATTAAAGGTCGCAGCCTTTTAGACTTTACACTATTTATAATCGTGCTGTTGGGTCCATCAATTCCCTGTCAAAATAATGTGGCTTCTGGCAGGCGATTGCTATTAGTTCGAACTAATTGCAATCACAGGTTCGTACCTGTTGGACCAGATTAGATATAACAAGGAATTCAAACTGATCATAAAGTTTTTATTAGATACATAGTTTCTTGATGAATGCTTCCTTGCAATGTTCTACATTTCATTACCATTGACGGAAATTGAAGTTATCTATCGATCTGGACCCCTGTTATACATACTGCACTAATGTATTCATTTAAAGTAGTTTGAAGTTTCAAAATATTCTATATAATATCTGTAATGGCACCGTTTTCTTGCAAATAAAGGTGATTTGAAAACATTTGTATTTCTGTTCGTATTAATAAAGTAATACTTTTGTTGCATCATTATATTTCATTCTAAAACGTTGAATATGCCAGTATTCTCAGTTAATGGGTTTTAAATTTCTTCAAAGCCTCAATTTATGAAAGAGTCAAAGTAATGAGTCGTTAGTTTATAAAAAAAATTGTCTTCATATCTTGAGTCTTTCGATACCTTGTATTTATATGTAGAGTAGAGTTGTATTTAACTATGTTACATATAAATACATTTATGGCAGGTCACAGTACATAAAAAAATTGCAACAAAAGTAAAATGTTAATCACACGCCATTTGATACCCAACTATATACATCTTTCAGTTTCCATGAAATTAAAGAGGTCGAAAAACTCATGAATAGGCATCTTCAATCACTATTTGATATATCTTGTGCACACAGTTTGAAACTCAATCTAAATGAATCGCAAGTTATGCTTTTCAAACAGAAAAATTGGAGATGTGTGGGGTTCGTGAATCTCTATCTATTCACAGCCTGGCACACACTGTGATTGCATTTACGGGTCAGCTTTGCAACAAACTGATGCTTGGCGTCTTCAGAAGATACAAAATAATTGTATTTGATTTTCACATGGAATCTGTAAATATGATCACATAAGCTCATCCTTTGACAATTCTGATTGGCTGAAACTAAATGCTCTTAGAGAGCCGCACCTCCTTTCTATCACTTATACAATTTTTCAAACTGGAACTCCACATTATCTACATGATTAAACTCGTTTCACCATCTCTCAATAATACTAGTTGCAATCGACAGTTCCTGTTCATATCAAATTTTAACTCGCCTAACATAGTTTCTCATAAATTGTGTAACACATCTGTAGATTTCAAACATTTACCTCTTAAAAACTTTGGAAAAAGACTCCGAGCTCTAATCTGAATGAGGCAATAATTTAACATTATATTACTTTCCTCAGGCTATGATAAAGGTTTCGACTTCTCAGATCTTGTTTCTTGTTTTTCCTTACCGCGATTGTTGGACTTATTATTTTTTTTAATCATCTGTTATTCATTTATTTATGATACCTTGCACTTTTTTTTATTGTTTTGAAACGTTAGGTTTAAAATCGGCTATACTAGCTGAACCTCGCCCATTCGTCATATTTTGCTTCATTATATATTTTTATTGTAGTCGGTGGGTAGCAGGTCGGTTCGACGTGGGTGCTTTGTTCATTCACTCGAATTGACTGCCGTGTTGGTTGGTGGTTCGAACCCCAGGCTGAACGATCGATTTGCATTTGCTATCGTCCAACCCGTGTTAGGGATCACACGTTGAAAGGTGAGACCTCGTTCATCCTTAGCTCGCACAAGTTTCGACTTCTGAGGATTGTCGTTCGTAGGGGTGCGACAGCTGGTTGACGGAAAAACAGATTATTGTTTATTTCTCATTAGATGAATAAAGACCTGTTATTATTATTTTTATTAAACACAAAAGGAATATACTCGAATAACACATTTGAAGATGGAGAAGTAGAAAGCCAAAACCTTTATTTCCCAAAACTCAATCTGTCCTAAAAATATACCCCTTTCAATTTAAAGAAAATGATAAAGTGTCGCAATTTTTTTTATAGAATTGCCAAACTTCGTGAACTGAACATAAAATTAGACTCCTCAATAACACTCCCATAAACAAAGACAATGACCGTTAAACCCTGCCATGCAAAAAGTTGTAAGTGTCGAACTAAACCGGCGACCCTCTGGTTTGGTGACCTTAAACAATCATACTAATAGATAATAGAAGCTCATCGAGTCTACTTCGAGCCAATCGTCGCGTCGATGCGAAGTCCGACGAATCTTCCGTTTCTTTTCGTAACTTGACAAAAACACTTCTAGAGTTCACTATCTTTGTACATATTTTTGTAAATCATGCCAGAAAGAAAATAACACACCGACCGCCACTTAGCTAACAGCGCGCGATTGTACGATGATTCCCCGCCACTCTAGAAGCAGCGAAAATAATCTACCGATTTCAACAGAATTTTCTACTGCATTCGATTACGATATATAAACGCTAGCCAGGAGTGTATCCCAGACAGTGAAGTGGACGTTACAGTGCCGTGCGCGAAGTGATCTAGTAAGGCAATAGAAATTCAAATGACAGTTGAAGTTTTAGTGTTTGTTAAATTTGAAGTGAAATAAAGTTAGGTTTGATTATTCAGTATAATCAATTATTGGTCAACCCACGGAAAAAACCGTAACACGATTTCCGAATTCTTTGTAAATAGTTCTAAGAATAAAGTTTTATTTTGTACCACCTGACATGCCTTTTTAGTAGTTGAATCATATACATATTTTCTTCAACCGAGCTAACCCAATAAAGAAAACGTGAAGGGAAACAAGGGCTGTCAGTTTTATCACTGCGAAACTCTGATTTGCTTGTCTAGCCTTAAATTTTTTCGTTATTTTATCGGTTTGAAGAAAATGATCATGGTAATCATCTTATAACATGATTCAACGCCTCGAAAGCTCGAACAGAAAAAATAGTTTCACAATCGTTCTGTCTCACTGCTATTGGGAATTCAAACTTAGATGTCAGCGCCATGGTAGTGAAAGTGCAAAATACAGATGTCTACATTGAATATAGTTCAATATACGTTCAATTATATCTGCAAAGTGCAAACCAGTGTTTTGATCCAGCTGATTTAGCATTATACTTGTGCCAGCGTTTTGAAGTGGTTCAAATATTTTTATTGAATTTTCTAGTGAACAATTCAGGATTTTAGAGAAGTAGTTTGTGTTTATGTAGTTAGTACAAATTCTTCTTTCGTATGTTGTTGTTCGCCAACATATCCATCTATTCATATTAGTTCTATGCAACCTCATGGTCAGGTACTTCGACATAACCTATAATTAAGGTTATGTCGATGGTCAGGTAGTATAACTTGTTGAATCTCATTTGCCGGCCTTTACATTTGAGAGAGAAAAGTTTTATTGAGAAACCTAACGAATTTATTGATGTATAAGAAAATTTTACCGTATTCACTCATATTGTCAATTGTATGTCTCCTGACTTGTGTAGTACAATCAATCATATATAGACATAATTTTAATATGTTCTGTCAAGTATTTTTCAACATCATTGAAAAACCGGCCACACGTACCTTCAAAGTCTTAGGTTCAGATATGAGAGGCAAAGATGAGGTGTTTTCACCTGAACTTGAGCAGCATATCGTATGCACCTCCACAGAATACGTTCTGACTCTCAACTCGGAGTATGTTTGTGGAATTGATTGTGGACTTTGTTCACAAGTGGCGCAGTGTTACATCTTTCAGAATCAACTGCAGATAGAGCTTATGATTAGTTGGAATTATTTTATGTTTGTTCGGTTCGTTAATTAGGGAAGCTATAGATTATGCTGTAGACGATCCCTCTCGATAAAGAAGGCCCCGACACTGTCGAATGAGGCCCCTATGTCCTCCGTTAAAAGATGAACAATTTTTTCATCTACCTCACCCCAGCCAGGTAGGGGTAGACCGTGAAGGGCGGCATTCATGGTCGCCATCCTACCATCAGTCATGACCCATTTGTCCCTCTGACAAACATCAGTTGAAAGGGTAAGGGAGCCAGGCTCCAACTTGAAAGAAACCAGGACGACTTTCCACTTGTTTGTTCGGGATATTCAAGACGGTTTACTCCGTCCGACTGACGTGAAGCTAGTACCCCGAAACCGGTCTATCGATGGTCATTTATAGGAAGTTTCTTGCGACGAATCTTCTAATTGGAAGATGTTGAACAGGTGCCTGATGGTTTTAATTCAGCTGGGTCAGTTGTTGTTTTCCCGTCGGGTGTCTGCCACACGTATTTACAAAGTCGTAGGTTCACATGAGAGGCAAGTGTGAGATGTTTTCACTTGGACTTGTGCTTATCATGCACCTCTCCGAAACATGTTTTAACATTCTGACTCCCAACCCGGAGTATGTGCTTGTGGAGTTGTTTCCGGATTTTGCCTACAGGTGGCGCAGTGGTACATCCTACAGATAGAGCTCATGACTAGTTGGAATTAATTTTGTTTGTTCAGGCTCAGAGAGATCCTCGCTGGAGTGCCACAGGGGGGCGTGCTTTCCCACGCTGTACTCTCTCTACACCAGTGACGTTCCGAGGTCCGAGCGTTTGAAGATATCTCTCTACACCAATGACACGGCTCTCCTCTCATCTTCCATGGGTCGGGAGCTCGGGATCGTTTACATGCAACGTGCATTGGACGAACTTGAGCGCTGGTACCTCGAATGGAAGATCCGAGTGAACCTGGACAAGACCCATGCGATAACTATAGGAAGAATGATAACTTCTCCGGCCAGAAAAGTGGGGATCTCTGGAAAGGAGATTGACTGGCAAGCGCGGGTAAAGTAACTCGGTCTAATGGACCGTAGGCTTACCTGAGACCCGCACGTCATAACCGTGAAGGCAAAGATCGAGGGTTGGAATAAAAAGATCCAAATTGAGTCTAAAGAATGAAATTACGATCTACAACACGATGTTCAAGCCTGTCATCATACAGTGCCTTCATTTCAAAACTTCCCAGCCCTAGTACTTCGTTTAGCAAGGAGAATTTGCCGTAGCCAAATTCATTTTATTTTTGCACTATTTTACGACAACGGATCAACCAATTCCAGTTTTCTAAACGGGGCTGAGTGAGGATTTTTAAGATCTTTAAAATTACAAGATAGGGGGTGCCATTTAAAATTATCAAGTGGGAGTAGGTAGGGGTAAGGGGGTTAAACCTAAAATACCACTAGCACTGTTTTAAACTTCCCCCTCAATATCTAAATTGACGTGTTTTTGCCTACGGCAAATTCTCCCTGCTAAACGAAGTACTAGGGCTGGGAAGTTTTGAAATGATGGCACTGTATATGCTTCAGGCGTCTGGGGACAAGCGGATCCGTCTAATATCTCCATTCTGGAGAGACTACAAAGTAGGGAGCTAGGCTCCAACCTATCTGAAGTGACCCTCTCGGTACTGATGAGGAGCTAGTACCCTGAAACCGAACTATCAGTGGTCGTTCCCCCCAAATTATATTAATTTCAGCTTTTCATATATAGGAAGATACTTGCGACGAATCTTCCAAGATGTGTATCCGGGCCTTTCGGTCCTGTTACACACCTTGGGATGAGGCGTCAGAAGGACTCTCACCCAACATGGTTATTCTAACGCTCCCGGGAAGGATTTTCGCTAATATATACGAACCATTATTTTCTGGAAGGACAGGTGTATGTGATATATATTTTACATGAGCCTCAGTCATGTCAATTCGCCTCTGTTGCACATTTGTATGTGTCAAATGTGATACGTGCTGGTTTAAAAAATAATACGTTACTCAAAGTAAAATTAAACTTACCTACAAAAATATGACTTCTAAGCGGAAGAGTGAGACACGTTTTTCAACTCAAATATGCAAGTTGAGAATGAGGCATCAGAAACGCGATTTTAAACATACCTATACAGTGTGTAACAACGAAAACTTAACAGAGCCTTTTTTGAATATAAAAAGTAAGATTTTTAAAAAAAGCTCGGACACGTCGATTTCTAATTAAAGGGGGACACCTTTCAGACTAATCAGATTTTTTGTAGTACGCACCCCCTCG